ATGAACTCATCACAGGAATGAACTCATCACAGGAATGAACTCATCACAGGAATGAACTCATCACAGGAATGAACTCATCACAGGAATGAACTCATTTACAGCAGCCCAAGGAAGGGATTAAAGGTATCATACAAAGGTATCAGTACAAAGATAACTATTAGAACAAAAACACAAACCTTCCTAAAAATCGAAAGATAAACCAAACCAAAAAACAAACTCACAAACAAAACCTTGTGCTCCGTCGTGCAGTCGGTTAGCACGCGGTACTTACTGATACACAACAAACAAAACAGTGAAAGACAGGACGGTACAGTTTAGCCAAAAGAGTGGGATTATGTGTAAGAAAAAAAATGCAATTGCTTTTATATTTTAAAAGCAGAAGAATAAGCCATAAAATTAAAATGAACAGATTTCATCTAAAATAAAGATGGAGTACAGTAGAAGAGCCAGAGTTAGATTAAGAATCTTTTGTACAGTTGACTTTGAAATTCTACATAATTTTATTCAATAATTCTAAGATAAAATTACATTTAAAAGTACCAATCCTTAAAAATTGAAAATAAGCACAAATGAGCTGTGGGCATAATTGTATAAAAAGGAACTAGTCTAGTAACTTAAAAACAGTAATCTGACTGTACATCCCTAGTTAGCTATAACCTATGGGTAAAAACAAGCCAAAAAATACAAGAAAACATAATGAACTACAGGTCTATCAAGTGCACACTCAGGTCAGTGCTCCTGGAAGCTTGGAGTTTGGGTAAGGTTGACAGAGCTCTAGATGGCGAAACTAATGAGATTACATAAAAACACTATAGATTTGAATTTGAAATTTCAATTTAAATCCGTATCTTATTTTATTATTTAAAATTATTTCCTAGCTCTGCCCATGAAGGCCTACCAACAGTGAGTAATCCAGGAGAAAGGAGTATTCCTAACACCCGGATTTCAGCTCTGTGATCCTGTAAAGAAACCAGTTTTCCTTTAGAAATAACTGATTCCAGGTACGGAGTGTTAGAAAATGTGAAAGTGAGCCTGAGATAACTTGTCATCCTGGAAGGCAAGGAGGCGACTCACCCCCTCAAAGCAAGGTGAAGGTCGTGTCAAAGGGACACAGAGACCGGCAGGTCAACATCAGTGAGTAATGACCAGAGTGGTCACAGCAAAACAAATGTGTTCAGACCCAGGAGTGCACGAGAATAGAGACTTTTAGAGATTCCTAATGAATGAAACTATTTTTGAAAACTGATGAAGGAAAAGAATCAAGCACTTGTCCTGCCTTTATTATAAGTCAGTACCTCAGAGTAACCAGACAGCTGAGGAGGGGAATTCTCTTTATAGAAGTATTCCAGTTAATAAACAGGTGACTCTGTTATCTCCAAGAAGAAAACAAATCTAGGCAATGACATCATTTGCCACAAAAAGACATTATATACATTCTGAGATATGGCCAAAATAAACTGCATCAGGTCTCTAAGATCTAACTACCAACTTATCAGAATACATGGAACACAGGGTCATACACAGTAAGTGACACTGGGGGGTGCTACCATGAACATTCAGGTCGTGAAAAGCTCTACAGGAAGATCCTAGATGATAGTTTCTTCAATAACGATAACAAAAAAAACCCACAAAAAAAACCAAAGGGGAAATCTATAGATTAAAAGAACTTAATCACAATGTATGAATATTACTTGCATTCTCCAATTCAAACAGACAAAATGAACCAAAACCAAAAACATACAAGACAATCAAGAAAATGTATGAACACTGAATTTGGAATTAAGGAATTATTTCAGTCTTTGTCTGGTTTTGTGAAAAATGGCATTTTATTTTATTTAAGAAAAAAGTTCTTTCAAGTGATGAAGGTAATAGATAATGAAAGAGTTACAGATGAAATGATACAATGTTTAGGATTTGCTGCAAAATAAGAAGGTGTGGGTGAGTGGACAGAGAACTAGACTGATCTCATCAGACACTACCTGTGACTGCTAAGGTTCAAGTAAAGAAAAGAAGGATTTTCTTTAAGTAGATTTGATCATGTAATTTAATGTGGCAAATTACAAACACTGTCTTATTTCTGTATATGATTTGAAGCATACTTAAAAATACAGGGTACCATTGCATACGTTTTTCTTCTCTTTGAAATACAAGATATTTCAAATGTAACTAAAACTGTTTTGCAAAATACCTTAAAACACATAATTCTTCTATAGAGACATTATATACTAAAAATAAGAAAAAAACCTGGTTTGCCGAATTGCTAAAATGTTAATGGGCATATTATAAAAATTTAACTTTTAGATTTTTTTTGAGATAGGGTCTGGCTCTGTCACCCAGGCTGGAGTGCAGTGGCTCGATCACAGGTCACTACAGCTTTAACCTCCTAGGCTTAAACTATCCTCTCATCTCAGCCTCCTGAGTAGCTGGGACTACAGGTGTATGCCACCATACCTGGCTAATTTTTAATTTTTTGTAGAAATGGGGTCTTGCTTTATTGCCAGCCTGGTCTCGAATCCCTAGCCTCAAGAAATCCTCCTGCCTCTACTTCCCAAAGTGCTGGGATTATAGGTGTGAACCACCACTCCCAGCCTTAGAAAACTTTCTTTGTGTGTGTGTGTGTGTTGCAGTTTGGCCAGGGCCAGTTTTGAACCTTCCACCCTCGATATATGGGGCCAACGCTCTACTCACTGAGCCATAGGAGCCGCCCTTTAGAAAACTTTTTAAAAAGGAAATTGCAGCAGCTGCTGCTGTTAAGCATAATGTCAAACATTTTTTGGAAATGTACAACTTTTTCATTATAATCTTAAAAAGACTCCCTCAACCCAAAATACTTTGGTAAAATTTTCCAACTGACAAAAATGGAGCAAGTACTTCCAAAGAAAACCAGGTTTTTGGATTGAAGTGCAATTTTATATAAAAGATTAAACAAACACTTTTGTGTGTGCATCAAGTGTTAGTTTGATGATAGGTGATATGTTTGAAGCCAACAGGCCACATCTGACTTATAGACAAGGTGGCTTACATGGTTACTTCTTTAAAAAAAGTTGATTCAACATTTAAAATTCAGGCGATTTCATATAAAAACCCAGAGTTTGATAGTCCTACATGAAACGACAGGTTGGCACACACTAGAGACTGCCTCCTTCAGGGGCCCGTGCTTTCCTGTTCACACCTCCACCCGGGCGTAGTTTAAGGGCCAGTCTCCTTAGGCATCTGTGTCTATAGATGATGACTTACAGCCTAACACTATTTAAAAGTGTTTTCCTCTCATTCTCAACAAAGAAGTAGAATAGCAAAAAAAGAGGGAGTCAATGAGTCAGTATTATTCAGTTCTGTATCTAAAAAACACAAAAATACCTCCCTAAAGCCCGAATTCATTATTCTCACAGCACAGACATAAAATGCTACCTGCAGCTTTTAAAGTGCTTTTACCAGGACAGCAAAGCTTACCTTCAGATCAAGGCTGCTAAGGCTTACAACATCATCATCTTTCTCTCTTCGTTTTCTTTTCTGTAAGAAAGAAAGATTTAATTTTCATATAGAAGGAATTCATTTACCCCATTAAACAGAAACTCCACATAGCTAAAAAAAATAAATATCTTTTAAAAAGTCAAGCTTTGGCTGTATTCACAAGGCAGTTATTTGGTGGATGCCCATAAATCACATGCACTTCTTAAATGGCCCCCAAGTCCTCTCTTCACGGTAAGGTGATGCCACCCTATTAAAAAACTTAGTTATATAAAGTTTTCAGAATAGAACTCTTATGTAAGAAAGAACTTAAAAAAACACATTATTTATCCTATGGAGGATCCTTCACTAGAAAAAGAGTTATCCTTTTCCCATTGCCTGAGGGAGAAGTTATTAACTGGAGATGGACAGACAGCCACGGTCCTGGAGTACTTTCCAGTAACCATTTATCACCTTCATTCAGCCCTGAACGCTGGTAGTGGCAAAACTGTGTACACAGCTAACATTTCTGGTTTGTAATCAATACTGAATAAGCACCTGTAAGTAATAGTCATTCTCCCACATCCCTAAATAACTTCTCTGATTACTCCTGACATAGTGTAGCTCTTGTGAACTCTTATGTGACCAGTCAGGGCTCCCTTCCATCACCTTCCATCACAGGGAGGAGGAACTGCTAGGAGGTGAATTGAAACCCAGCAGGAGAGGGACAGCAGAGGAAAGAAGAGGCAAAGCTCAGCAGAGGGGGACGCAATGGACCCGGAGGCCTCAGAGCCTCCCATGAGAACCGCGCGGGAGGCTCTGCGCCATTGGGAAGGCCACGTGAACCAAGCCTCCAGTGCAAGTTGGGGGCAACTAAATTCACAGCAAATAAACAGAAAATTCTCAAGTCAAGTCCTACATGCAGTCACTCTGAGAAAAAAGAGAACAAGGGATGGAATACATCCCCTTAGCAAACGAAGGCACAGGAGGAGTACATCTTCAAAGAAGGAAAACAAACCACAACAGACTATTTAAAACTGAGCTAAAAGACAGTAAGACATGAAAGAACAATATAAATCAGAATTGAGAAAAAATTAAAAATGAGGTGACAGAACTCAAGAAATCTTTACTGATCCCTCTACTAGACAATATAGACAAGTATACGGTCATATTCTATACTGACGAATGTGGTCCCAGTTTTGAAAAGTCAACTAACCAAAAATCTCGCGGGTGGGGATCCACCTGTGAGTGAGCGTATTATTAGCTAATGAGCAAAATACAGAGGGATACAGCGTGTTGCTGACTGGGTGAGAGAAGAGGCTGGGGACGGACTCACATGGAGGAGCAGGAGGAAGAGATTGTACTGTATGCACACGTGTGACCATCCTTACGCAGTCATGTGAAGCTGTATACATGTATATGCATGAAGAAATCTAACAGATTTTGAAACATTCTACTGTAATTTCTTTTAAATATTTTAAAGCTATGTTTTTCATAGTTAGCTCTTTAATCCACCTGGAATGTACTTCTGTATGTACGTGGCATGAAGTAGGACAGTCAATTGCCCCACTCCTCAGACCATTTATTGAAAGGTGTTTATCAGGCTTGTGACCCAGTAAGTCCTAGTAGCTGTGAGTAGGCGAGTTTCTGGGTCCTCTATTTTGTCGCACTGGTTTATTTATTTATTTATTTATTTATTTATTTATTTTTTTTGGTTGCAGCCGTCATTGTTGTTTGGCGGGTCCGGGCTGGGGATGGTTCACCGAAATTCTAGTGTTTTTCTTTGGAAAGCTGAAATGGATTCCTGAATCTTTGATGTGGTATATGGAAAGGCAAGATAACAAATTACACTGCCAGGCAAGTGAAACCCATCCCAGATATACTAGCAGTGGTGTTTAT